TGCAGGATGGCGTCGTCCTCGGAGCGGATACGAGAGCGACTGAGGGGATGGTTGTTGCTGACAAGAACTGTTCCAAAATACACTTCATTTCCCCTAATATCTAGTAAGTGTTACAGTGCTTTGTTGGGTAGTGAATTGTTTATTGGGTGCGTTATTGCGTATTGTTGGTACTGGGGCTTTTAGCGGTGTTCTTTACTAAGAGCAAATACTTAGCTCTGTTTCAAAATGGTACTTTATTAAGCAAGGTTTGGGGGTTCTTGGTATTCCCTTTACACTTAAGCAGGCTCTCGTGTTTCTCACTCTCTGTGTGAGAACTTAATTCCCTCAATTTTACAATGAGAAAGTTTCTGTTTGTTGCCTGAAGCATGGAGGTTTCTGTATCCTTTTCCTCACTTGCTGATGACGTTCCTCAGCTGCTGCGGTGCGGGCACAGCTGCAGACACCGAGATGACCACTCAGCTGATCTCCTCCAACCTGGAGCTGCACTCCCTGTCCACGGGCCGGCTCCCACGAGTGGTCACTGCCAACAGAATGCTCAAGCAGATGCTCTTCAGGTAACTGGGGGGTTTCTTGTTCATTCCCTGTGCTGGTAGAACCACCAAATAATGCTTAAGGAGTGTCCTATCTCAGCCTGCTTCACCTTCATAAATTCAGGACTTCTTTCGTAATTGCCCTTTGCTTCTTGGGCTTGTTAACTGAGATGGAAGAGAAACGGAGTCTGTGGTGTTTTACAGAACTATGCAGCAATCACACAACAAAAATAGAAGGGTATTAGTTTAATACATAATCACACCCATGAAAACTGCTGCGTATCCTTGTGGTGAGAAGGCTGGACCAGTAACAGAGTAATGTGCAAGCTTATAAAGTTGGGAGTGATTTGCAATAGAATCACTGCCTCAGAAAGTCTGCTGGACACTGAGATAAGCTGTATTTTAGTACATTTCTCACCCATTGCTGCCAGCTGGTGAAAGCAGCCTGTTCAGTGCAGGGCTGCACCTGCTGGCTGGGGAGCAGTTCCCAAGCCCTGTATGGTGTTGAGCAGCCCCAGACTCACAGACAAACCTTGCTCCCAGGTACCAGGGCTACATCGGGGCCGCGCTGGTGCTGGGGGGCGTGGACGTGACGGGCCCCCACCTGTACAGCATCCACCCCCACGGATCCACCGACAAGCTGCCCTACGTCACCATGGGTGAGTGCTGCTCCGGGGCCCGGGCACGGAATGCCTCGCACTGGTACCTACAGGGCTTTCACTTAGAGCCCCTTGTGTGCTGGGAGCTGGGTGGGCATCAGACCACAAAGATAGAGTTGTACCTGGGTTTATAAGGCAGGTGCCCTGTTCTGTTTGCTCACATACGTGGGCTGGGATAAAGCTCAGCTGCCAGGAAACTGGTATTGGGAATGTTGCTCTGTGTGTTCCACACCTCAAAGCACAAGAATTGTGGGATTCCCAAAATCTTGCTGAAAGAAAAAGAAAAATTCCTCAGAAACTTGATTTGCAGGTTGTCCCAACTCGTGGTTTGTACAAATTCACTTGGGGAACTTGTGTATTGTTTGGAAGACTTGGGTTATTTTAAAAGGAAGCTTGTATTTGGTAGAGCCATGGAAGTGTAAGGGAAAGTTCAAATAAATATATCAGAGAACTAATGTGAAAACAAACTGTGTCAGATTAGCAAATCAGCCTGTGCCTGGTGCAGCTTTTGAGCTGCTTCTGTGGTGGGGAAATACACATTTATGGATTCTCATTAATATTTTCTGTTTCTGGCTGGCATCTTTGGCTAGAACAGCTGCTCAGGAGGCGGCGGCGGTTCCTGTTCTCGCGGGTAGCGGTGTAGCGAGGCCGGGCTGATTAACGCCCGCAATTAGCGCCGGGCCGGGCTGGGCGCTGCGGCGGCCGCTGGGTGGCGCCGGCGGGCCGGGCACGGCGGGCCTGCCGCGTGACGTCATCGGGGCCGTGAGGGCTGCGGGGTTACGGAACCGGCCCGAGCGGGGCAGAACGGGGCTGCGGAACGGGCCCGAGCGGGGCTACGGAACGGGCCCGAGCGGGGCAGAACGGGGCTGCGGAACGGGCCCGAGCGGGGCAGAACGGGGCTACGGAACCGGCCCGAGCGGGGCAGAACGGGGCTACGGAACGGGCCCGAGCGGGGCAGAACGGGGCTGCGGAACGGGGCAGAGCGGGGCTGCGGAACGGGCCCGAGCGGGGCAGAACGGGCCAGAACGGGGCTACGGAACGGGCCCGAGCGGGGCAGAACGGGGCTGCGGAACCGGCCCGAGCGGGGCAGAACGGGGCTACGGAACCGGGCCGAACCGGGCTGCGGGAACCGCTCTGCTCTCCGCACACGCTGGCTTTCCTGCCTCAGTTTTAAAAGCTTTACATCACGGCCTGTCGGGAAATGCTGGCAGCTCCTCTTTCCCTCCACAAAAATAGCACGGTAGCAGGCTTAAGTTCAAACGAGGGGGCAGTAGAATATCGGAGGGTTGAGTTCAGTGTACCTTAAACTTCGGTTTGCTGCGGGCAGTACCAGGTGTGTGTGGTTCTTTTTGGCCACGCTGTCAGACAAAGCCCTTCTCAGCATCAGGGTCCTTCACCTTCCCACCCCTGGTGCCCTGGCACTTCCTCCAGTGACCAGCATCTGTTTTAGTAAAAAATTAGGTAATGCATATAGGTGAAAGATAGAATGGAGACAGCAGAAAAACTATGACAAGTCAAATTTAAGATAATAGTTCGAAGTGTATTTCAGTCTTACTTAGACTAATCTAAGTAAGATTTGTTTTTTGGAGTATTTTATCCCAAATGTTAGAAAGGCGGTTTATTAAATCAGGGAAGGTGTGTATGGCAAATTAACTTCTGGAAATAGGAAAGGTGGTTGAGAAGTTGAGTTTTATTTTGGTGTGCCGGTCTGTCTGGATGGACAGTGGTGTCCTGCCTTGCAGGAGAGATTTAAAGGGTACACAGTGCTTACTCAGGAGCAAGAGCATCAAATTAAACTGTTTATGCTGACAAAGGACAAAATTGGATTTCAGCAAACGATGCAAGATTGTCTGATTGCTTGGCTTGTCTAGGAAAGCTTCTGGCCAAGGCTTATAATGAAATGCATGCATAAAATTAAAGCCCTTGAAGTGTGTAGCTGAGCTTTTGGAAGCAGGCGGAGTGCTCAGGAGTCTCTGGTGGCCAGAGCTGCTCCCCTGGTGCCAGTGGTGCTTCATATTCATAAATCAGCTCTTCATTGCAGTGGCAGTGTCGTGCTGCAGAGCAAGAACTCCCACTGCTGGGAGCCAGCCCCCAGCCAGGAGCCAGCTGAAAAATGATCCCAGTCCAAGGGGCTGCCGAGATCACGGAATTCTTACCTGGGATGAGCAGCAAATTGAATAACAATGAGTGCCTGTGAATAAATGCCCTGTCAGGGAGCCTTGGCAGTGATGGATGAGCAAGTGCTCCGTGTTGCTCTCCAAGCTCTGCACATCCTCGGCTGTGGCAGCAAACAGGTCCTCGGGTGAGGAGATGGACTGTACCTGGCAATGAGAACTTGTCTTCAGTGAAGGTTCTGCTGAAAAGATCCAGTGCATCTGCTTTAGGAAAGCTCCTGCAGTTCTAATTCACAGTGAAAATTATTGTGAGCTGCACTTTGCTGTGTGTCAATAATTATCTTTCACTTAAAATCAATACTGAAGTGGCACAACTGCTTGAGTGAAGACCAGATGGTATTTTTAAAGTCATTTTATTAGAGTTGCATGCAGAAAATTTAACACCTTGGTTGGCAAAAATCAGGAAAGCACCAGTGTTACTTAAAGAAGAGAACAGTAAATTCTCTTATCATTTCATAACTTACCTGGTTCATACTGAAAAGCATTTGCCTCAGAGTCGTCCAGCTTCTGTAGTTCTGTAGAATTTGTTTGCAGTCAATATTTTTATGTATGTAGGTATTAGATTAATGCTTCCTGAATATTTGGTTCTGAAGTGTAGCTTACTGCAAATATACGCAAAGTAAATTCTTTGGAATTGAGATGGCATTTTTTACTTGATGTCAAGTGTAAGCATTCTTTGAAGATAGTGGATTTTAAAGATCTGAATGGATTTCTTCCTGAGTGCTATATAATACAAATAAATTATGACTTTGCTAATTATCCTTTACACATTATCACACGGCTTTCCTGGAGGTTTTAATGGATTTGGGGATTGAGCTGCTGCTGAATGTGACCTGGTAGTGGCTCAGCTCAGTTACCGTGTGTATGAGGTGGGGAATCCATCCCAAGTTAATGGATGGTGTTTTGCTGTGTTTGGATTTTATCCTTCTCCAGACTTTATGTTTGGGAATTGTGAAGCTTGTTTCTGCATAAAGGCAAAGCATGCTTGTTAAAAATGAATTATTGGTGGCCACTGAGTGCACGGACAAGAGAGCAGCTGTTTCCCCACACACAAACAAGTTCTCCATAGACCCTTAATATCCAAGTTTTCTGTGTTTTTATAGGAGCTGCAATAAGAAAGCCGTGCTTGCAATGTTTACTTAAGTTCCCAGTTTTATTGCCCGCTCTCCTGTCACAATGCAGCTTTCAGGGGGCAGCTGGAGAGGCTGGAACATTGGGGGCTGTTTGGAAGGCCAGTGGGGTGGGACAGGGACACGGATGCTTAGCTGTGCTGGGAGGCTTCTGCTAAGGGAAATTTGAAATGTAAGCTTGTTTAGGATTTATAAGCACTAGAGAAAAAATGAAGCAAGTCTATTCAGCTGTTCCAGCTTCCTGTTCTGCTAGAACCTCCTTAGGATCTTGATTTTCAGATGTAAATGTCTCCATGTAGGTTTAATTAAGTTAAGACTTTAAACAGCTCTTTGAAAATTTACATTATAGGACTGTCTGGATTTATTTATTTAAGGTTGATACTAGATTTGGCATTTATTTGTGTCTCGGTAACATAGTGAGATAAATAATTAAGTGTAATTCTTTATGTATAAAGGATTTCATGTACTGTAACACAAAATTCCCCCAGCCTTTTTCATTTTTCTGTTTTTTCTCTCTAAGTTACTGATTTCCTGCCCATAGTTCTTTTGGGAACTTCTTAAAAGGAGCTGGAGGAATTCAGCATGAGCCATGTATGCAATTGTGTTATCAATAATTATTTATTTGTCACTAGAAGTTTTAAGAAATTAAGATCACTTTTCCCCAAGTAAATAGCTAATGTAGTAATTTTGGTCAGATATTACATTTTGAGCTTTCTTTTTTTGCACTTTTTCTCATCTTTGTACTCTGATTTTGTAAACCTTTCCCCAAGACCAGGATTGTTTCCAGCTTTGAGGCTTCCTACTCAGCTCATGGTCGGCCTTCATTTGGGAATAGCAGGAATGTGGGCTTGGTTTGAGACCATAGCCCAGATTTTTTTTCCCTCTCATTAGAAATATTCCTGTATAATTCCAGAAGAATTATAGTTTTATTGTTCAGGTTCCTTTATTTGTTTTGGCACATGCTTTATTTTGACCTTGTTTGAAGGGTCAGTAAAATTCCTTTTATTTGTGATTTGTTCTGTTATATCAGCTGTTTGCATCAGCAGTTCAGTTTTGCTATTAGTTGCTTTAAAATCTTCTTTATTCTCAGTTTCAGCGTTTAAAAAATGGAGTTGTGTATTGCTCCAAGGTGTAAATGAATAGTCATTGCCTGCAATACAAGTGCATACTTAGAGTGTCCTACTGCTTTTAGATGTGATGTATTTGGTACTGTAAAGGTAATGATCCTCAACCACAGCAATATTCTGTAACAGGAATATCTGTCATATTCATCAGGATTACCATGTTCATTGATTTGTGTCTGTAAATCTGCTGTTTCAACCCTTTAAATTTGATCTATAATTGGACCTCCTTAAATGGTTCAGCTAAGGTAGTCTGTATTTTCTCAACAGTGTCACTGTCAGCTTCTCCTTTTTCATTATACATTCAGCAGACTTGATAAAATCAGCAGGACACCTCATTTGAAACTGTTTAATCGCTGCCTTTTGCTTTCACTAAACCATTGAGGTGGTCAAGCGATATACACAAATCATTTTAAATAGGAAATATGGCTTTCTCTGTGACCCAGCTAAACAGATAGCACTATGCAAAACAAGTTAAAAAGTAATAAATGCCAAAAAATCTTCTAATTGGAGTAAAAAATTGCAGGTAACTTTATTCACTCCCCAAAAGTAGTGCTCTCTGAAATATGGGTAGGGCCACCGACAGACAAGAAAATCTTCCTGAAGGCTCACTCTTTCTGAACAAAGCAAGTTTACAGTTTCAGATAGTACCATCCTGCTTTTTGTGTACAAATGTGACAAAAAGCACATTTATAACCCTGCAGTCACAGTGCTTTGGGCAGAGATGGCTGCTGTTCCATCACTGCACTTGTACTTGGTCCTTTCTGGAGAGGAGCGTTAAACTCTGCCTTTGTCTCTGCCACTTTGTTCAGCTGTTATTGCTCATTATTGTAAAAATAATGGCACAGAGCAGGAGCACAATGAACTGTTTAACTGCAGGGGAAATGTGCTGGTGGCAGCAGCCCCTGCCCTGTCCCACTGCTGGGCTGCTCATCCCCAGCCCTCTGCAGCACCCTCAAAGAGGGGCAGGGGGGATGGAGGAGTGGGGGCTGCACAGCGTGGCGTTCCCCTAACTCTCTGTTTCTGACCCCACTTTTGTACCTTATGTTCAGGATGGTGAGGAGGAAAGGCCGTCAGCATGGGCCTGTGCTGAGTCTGTGCCCAGAGCTGCACCCCAGGGTTAAATCCGGTTCTCACTCGGTGTACACACTGTACAGTGCAGAGGAAGCTGTGGTGGGCTTGGTTGGTTTGTGCTGATGAGATGTAGTGTATTTATCTCTAAAATAAAGTGCCATACCTGAATGCACTGGCTGAAGGGCTGTCCTGGTGTTGTCCCACAGGTTCTGGATCGCTCGCGGCCATGGCGGTGTTTGAAGATAAATACAAACCCGACATGGAGGTAAGTCCTGGCTTTTTAAACCTCAGCCTTTCTCCTCTCAGCAATCCTCATCACCATAAGAATTTAGGAGGTTTGAAACTGTAAAAATTAGGTAAATATGCTCTGGTGTTGCTGCACTTAAAATGTACTAATGTCAGCTTTCTGCAAAGCTGTTAAAATTAACAGGTAAAATAAATAAATTGCAAGAAGCTGTATATATGTATGGGAAAATGTGTACTTTGAATGTAGGTGAAGGCTTTAAAAACATACAGCTTACTGGTTGTAGTTACTTCAGCAATTTACCAGCCCCTGCACAGTCAATATTTTTGTTTTTCTGTCCTTCTATCCATCTGTCTCAGTCTTGAAAAGAGAATGCATCTAAAAGTCTTCAGATGCTCCTCATTTTTGTAATGCAGCTGCTGTGGGTCAGTTATAGTCCTATAAATCTACAGTTCTTCTCTACAAAACTGGTAAATGAAGTTTAAAATGTGAGATGATCTCCTGTACCTTGGTACATCTCCTGACAAATCACAGTGTGCAATTCCAGCAGATGTTTAAAAAAGCAGTCAACTGGCCCACCTTGTTTTGAGAAGTTTGCCATTGGTTAATTGCTTCAGCATTAGTATAAGGCAGCTCTCCAGTTATCCCTGGCACCTCCTGTCAGTACCTAAGCAAGAGTTGTAGGTGTGCAAAGTTAGGGACAACAGTGGGATCAGGATTGCTGTGATTTGGGCAGCATGTGAAGGTGCTGGACTTCTGGCCTGAAGTGAAATTATTTACAATTGTTATCAGAGATACTGGAGTATGTTTAATGGGCTCCCAGGTGTCTGTGGGAAGGATCCTCACACCAGATGGCTGATGGAGCCACGAGACAGAGAGGAAGGCTCTGTTTTTCCCTCTCCCCCGTGCTGCTGCAGCAGTGAGAGCCTCCTTGTGCAGCCTCCTGTGTGACTGTGCACTTGGCATGTGTGCCATCCGCTGCAAACACGGACTGCAGCCCTGCGAGCAGCAGCTCCAGCACAGCGCTCCTCTTTCCGAGATACAAATGGCAAAGAGCTGTGCTCTGCAACTAAAGTTTTCATTTATTATCAGCTAGCTTTCAGGCTTAGATTTTAAGTCATTTCTTGTGTTAGAGCAACCAAAAAAAGGCACCAAAAACTGGTAAATCTCTAAATTTTCCTATTTAGAAAGGTCATCCTCATTAAACTGTCTTCACACACAACCATAAGTGGCAGCAGATAGTCACTTATAACAAGCCTGTAGAAATGCAGCCTACCAATTTGTTGAAATAGATATTTAGATCTTTGAGACTTGCATGCACCTTAACCCTTCCTTTGGTTTTCCTGGGTAATCTGTTATCTAATAACAGTTCAGGAATTGTATTAACCAAACCAGTGAAGTTTCGTGTGGTAAAGTTCAATGGTACCCTTAAACACTTCCTCATATTCTGTTATGGCTGTGAGTTTGTATTTACATTCTAAGTCAGATGTGGGATTTTTTTTTCAATTAATTAATAAAATAACAAATATTTCTATTGAAATGAATCCAAATTAAATCTGAAACATGCTATGTATATTTTACATAAAACTGGCTACAAAATGGCAATGAAGATAAAATTGCTGGAGACTCATTTAATAAAATTGGTAGAAAATTATTATTTTTTTCTGTCAAGATCAATGCTCCTTTCTTTTGCACTAATTGTCAGAATAGCTTGCTAGGGCTACTGGAGGGTAGTGGTGTGCTTCAAGACCATCACATCACAGAAAAATGATTCAAAGGCAAACTGTCCTGCACCCTCTGGTATCAACTTGCAAATTAGCATCTGGAATGTAATTAAACAAGCTTAATGAAAGTAGCAGCTGAATACTACTGGAAAAGACAATCAGCTTTTTTGCCTCTGATATATATTCTGTACTATTGAAGCTGATCACCAAACGCATCGTGTGAGCACAGTTAAAAAAAATTAGCATTTATTTGAAGAATAGGAACTGTTTTTCATTCTGTTATGCTTTTGGCATGCACTGGTGTCCCAGGAGAGCCATGCCACAGCAGATAGTGCACAATATTTATAAATCCATGACAGGCAATAATAGCAACTTGAAAAATTCTTTTGCTAGAATTTCAAGTTGAGAGCTGCCAAAAGCTGAGAGGATCAAATCTGCAGTGGCAGCTGCTGTGCCCTACAGTTAGAATCGTAGACTTTGAAGATGCTCAACTAAAAAAAAAATAAAAAAATAATAAAATAAAAAAAGACTGCAGGCTTAGCCAATTTTTGCAGGTTTCTAGGGCCCTGGCTCTCTGCCTTTTGAAGATGAGTTGCTGAAGCTTCTCCCAGTGCCTGAGGCATGCTAACACCAGCAGGATGTGTTTTTTTCCATAGACTTAGTGTGTCTTCAGATTTCAGTAGCACATGCTTTGTCAGTGCCAGCTGGGATGGTCCTTCCCTGGCTGCAGTGCTGGGAGAGGATCTTTCCCCCGTCCTTCAGGCAGCTCTGGAGATGGATGGTGACGTCCCCGAGCGCCCCTCGCGAGCCTGAGTTAGGGAGGCAGGGTTTGTGTGTGGGGAAGGAGGGCTGGCCTCTAGAGGAACCATTATAGATCGCTGAGCATGGGAACACTTTCAGCCCTGAAGGCCTCTAGATGCTTCAAAAATGGAATGCCAAGCACCTAACTACTGTGGAACAATATTAATCTGTCATGTGGGCAGCTATAGATCTGCTTTAAAAAACCTAAGTGGAAGAACAGCACATCTAATGGAGTGTTTCCAGCTTAGATCTTTCATTGGAGCCAATTTTTCTTCCAATAGACTTGCCGCTGGTTTTAAACCTTACGGTCGTTTTGTAAATGCATTTGTGCCTTCTGGTGTTAAACAATAGCAAAGAAGTACTTCGAGTCAGTGGATATGGGAAGCATTGTGAGCTGGGGAAAAAAAGTCTACAGTATTAAATGCTGGAATTTTGCGTTTATCTATCCTGTGGTGGTTGAATTCCTCAGGAGATGGGGAGGGGGATGTGTTTTCTTCTGGTATTTGATTTCTGGTGTTTGAAAAGTAGAAGCATTTTGTCTGTAGAATTACTTGATGCTCAGTGGGGCTACGTTGTAGACTTCTTGTTTAAGCAAGGAAAGGTTGCTTGTAACTTCATTTCTTTTCTGTATTTCATCAAAACAACCAGATTTAATAAAAAGAGGGTCCAAAAGGAAGAGAATCAGAAGCCTCAGAAAACAGAACTTTTGCAAAGAAAAGAAAGTAAATCTTGGAGTAGCAAGTTAGGAGAAGAACAGGTGGAAGACAGGAGATAGGAGACAGTCTGACAGATATTTATTTCTAGGATAGATCACCACAAAGGTGTGAGATTGTACTTACAGTCATTTCAACCATTTCTTAAGCGTGGCAGGAAATCAAGTGGTGCTGAATAAAAACAAAAATACCCTGGAGGGTAAGAAAGATGAATAAGAGAGGACTGTTGTGAGGGTGTTGCACATGGAGCACAGACCTCTTGGTGCTGCAGCAGCTGTGCTGTCCCCGGGTGTGCCTCAGTGACCCCCCTGCAGTGGGGGCTTTGGCTCACCTGTTTGGGTGGGACCTGCAGGGGCTGGGAGCCAGCTGGTGAGCAGTTTGGCAGGCACGTTTGGGAAGAGAGGTTTTTGAGGCACTTCTGAGCAGCCCCTAAGCCATAAGTGAAGTAGCTGAGGAACAGAGAGCTTTCCTCAGGATGCTCCATGTGCTCTGGGATCTTTGCAGTATCGAAATGCGAAGTAGCCTAATGCAGCTTTTGCTGTGCACCTCTAATTTCAGTAAAAAAATGCATCAGGCACAAAATATGAAAACATGTAACTTTCTCCCATTTTTAAGCAGCTGACACACAGATCCTTCAAATGTTCCTGTGCTCACTTTTCCTACTGTCCCTCAATGTGGTAGAATTATTTTTGTTTATGAGCTAGTGACAACAATGCTGAGCTATTTTTGGGATCTGTCAGCGGTCTCTGATGTGCAGCAGTAGTTGTCTCCGCGGCCCCGGTGCCGTGTGACAGGGAGGGAGCACTGACAGGCTGCAGATGAGCCCGGTTCATTAGCGATGGTGATCAGCTCTGGGCTCAGGTGTGGCAGCCGCCGATCCCGCAGCTGCCACTGCTGCTTTAATGACTCTGCAGGACAGTCACCACTTGCTGCGAGGTTTGGGGGCTCCACTCTGGCAGCAGACAATGGAGATCAAGCCAGACTATGGGAGTTAGGCTGGAGAGCCTGCCTGAGATACTTGAACCCCTGTTGGTGTCAAACACGGAATTAAGTAAATGGGGGGGGGGAGATGAGACGAAATCTGACTTGGTGAGCAAAAATCAGGACTTTGTGTTTCTGTGCCTGTGTATTTCATTATCCAGTGACAGCAACTGAGGCTGTTAGTGGCATATCTTCACTCCTTGCTGCCAGAGCTTGTGGCACTGCAGTTTTCAGCTTTCCTGACATAGCTGTGTTCGTGTCTCCTGGAGACAGGGATTTCCATGGGTAAATATCAGGTCTTAGTGCATACAGTCAGCCAGAAAATAAAGGCTTATCATACCTGTTTCTTATTGTTAGGTTAGATCACAATTATCCCGTGGCAGCCTGGTTTCTGCCTGACACGTTGGACAGTTTGTACTGTTTTCATCATCTTTCGCAGAACTGTGCCGTGGATCGATTTCCTTTGTGGAACTAGTGTTAAACAGGAAATCTGGGCTGATTTGGAATATGCCAGCTAGGTATGCTCTGGCATGGTGGGATTGCAGGAGAGGTGTTTTGTGGGGTGCTTTCTGAAGGAATGAAAGCCTGGTTTGTGTGCTGGAGTCGGTGGGACACTGCCGGCAGCACCAGTCTGAGATCCCAGAGATAGCCAGCAGTGCTGCCTTCCAGTTTGCTGATTGCAGACTGTATCAAGGGAAATAAATGTTACCTTTGTTTAAATTGGGCCTTGCTGCATGTCAAAGAGCAACAATTTCTTCACCTTTATGAAAGTAACAGTTAAACTTTGTCCGTAATAATGTAG